CCCCCCCCCCCTCCTCAGTCTTGCATGCGATCCTCTCCAGATACAGCCAGCGCCTCATCTACACTTATAGTGGTATCGTCTTGATCGCCGTCAACCCCTTCGACTCTCTCAATCTTTACTCTCCCGAGATCATTCAGGCCTACAGCGGTAGACAGCGTGGTGAGCTGGAGCCACACTTGTTCGCCATAGCCGAGGATGCATACAGATGCATGGTGAGGGATCGCAAGGATCAGACGATTGTCGTCTCGGGTGAAAGGTGAGCGTATGCGAGCGCATATATTCGCCTTTGCAGACTTGGCTGACGTTGACCACGCTCGCAATGGCTGTAGTGGTGCTGGTAAGACTGTATCTGCGAAATTCATCATGCGCTACTTTGCGACTGTGGAGGATCCGGACAGGCCAGGTGCGAGGAAGGCCGCTGCGACCAGCGCTGCCAACAGCGGACAGCCAAATGGTGCCAGTGCGAGTGGCATGAGCGAAACGGAAGAGCAGATCTTGGCTACCAACCCCATCATGGAAGCGTTCGGCAACGCAAAGACGACCAGAAACGACAATTCGAGTAGGTTCGGAAAGTACATCGAGATCCTTTTTGACAAGAACCACGAAATCGTTGGCGCCAAGATTCGAACTTACCTCCTCGAGAGGTCCAGATTGGCCTTTCAACCCACCGAATCTGGCGAGAGGAACTTCCACATCTTCTACCAGCTTTGCGCCGGTGTGCCTACTGGCGAGCGCAAGGATCTCGGGCTGGACGATGCGTCCAAGTTTCACTACCTGAATCAGGGAGGCAATCCAGTCATCGCAGGTGTGAACGATGCGGAGGAGTTCAAGGCCACGCAAAAGGCTCTCAGCACAGTAGGAGTCACCATCGAGCGACAGTGGTCCATCTTCAGGTTGCTCGCTGCCTTGCTTCACTTGGGCAACGTCAATATCACCGCTACGAGGACCGACGCGATGCTCGCGGATGACGAGCCATCTTTATTCATCGCGACGCGCATGCTGGGCGTCGATCTGAGCGAGTTCCGCAAGTGGACTGTGCGAAAGCAGATCGTCATGAGAGGCGAAAAGATCGTCTCGAACTTGAGCCAGGCTCAGGCCATTGTTGTTAGAGATGCCGTCACCAAGTACATCTACACGTGCTTGTTCGACTGGCTTGTTGAGCAGATGAATGACAGTCTCGCTCTCGGTAGCGGCCACTCGCGCGACACCATGATTGGTGTGCTCGACATGTGAGTCCAAAGGTGCTTGAATTCGCAGCGCACACGCACTCGCTGACGCGAATCCTCTCATGCTCTCAGCTATGGCTTTGAGCGTTTCAAGGTCAATTCATTCGAGCAGTTCTGCATCAACTACGCCAACGAGAGGCTGCAGCACGAGTTCAACCGGCACGTCTTCAAGCTCGAACAGGACGAGTACGTTGCGGAACAGATCGAATGGACGTTCATCGACTTTGCAGACAACCAGCCCACGATCGACATGATTGAGGGAAAGCTCGGAATCTTGTCTTTGCTTGACGAAGAGTCGCGACTCCCGTCCGGGTCAGACGCTAGCTTCCTTCAGAAGCTCTACACACAGCTGGAAAGACGGCCTGAGCTCAAGAACAGCTTCAAGCGACCTAGGTTCGGACAGTCTAGCTTTGCGGTCTGCCACTACGCTCTTGACGTGACGTACGAGAGCGAAGGCTTCCTGGAAAAGAACAGGGACACTGTGCCTGATGAACATCTCGCTTTGCTCGGAAACACAAACAATGCGTTCCTCAAGGAGGTGCTAGAAGCAGCTACTGCTCTGGCGCAGGCAGCAAAAGAGCCACCTCCGGCTGCTCCTGCTGACGCCAAGGCCCCGCCTGGACCCCGTCGCTTGGGCGGTGGAGGCATGATCAGGAAGCCTACCCTCGGATCTCAGTTCAAAGCCAGCTTGGTCTCGTTGATGGCGACGATTGAAGCCACAAATGTCCACTACATTCGCTGCATCAAGCCAAACGAGGCCAAAAAAGCCTGGGGCGTCGAGCCGCAGAATGTGCTCGGGCAGCTACGAGCTTGCGGTGTGCTCGAGACCATCCGCATCAGCTGTGCCGGCTACCCCTCCCGTTGGACCTTTGCAGACTTTGCTGAGCGCTACTACATGCTCGTGCCCTCGTCGAAATGGGACATGAGCACGATGGCCAAGGTGCAAAATCTGGCCATTACCATTCTCAGGAGCACCATCCAGGAGGAGGACAAGTATCAGATCGGTCTTTCAAAGATCTTCTTCCGCGCCGGTATGCTTGCTCACTTTGAGCAGCGCCGCGGCGATCGTCTCAATCAGCTCGTCACGCTCATCCAGAAGAATTTGCGCCGCAATCATCAACGCAAGCGTTTCCTGCAACTTCGCGATGGCACGGTCCGCCTGCAGACCTGGTGGCGCATGGTGTCTGCCAAACGCTACGTGGACAAGCTCAGGCGCGATAACGCCGCTCTGCGCATACAGACAGCTACGCGAGGTTTCATTGCGCGTCAAAGGCATCTCCGCATGCTCAGAACCGTCGTGGCCATCCAGAGCATCGCGAGAGGACGAAAGATTAGGTCGACTTTTGTCGGCGACAAGCAAAATTTTGCGGCGACTCGCCTGCAGAGCTTGCTGCGCGGAGCGCTTGTTCGCCGCAAAGCTCGTGCAGACACGAGAGGTATCATTCTGTTGCAGAGCTTGCACCGCCGTCGCCTCGCCAAGAGGGAGCTGGTTGGGCTGCGAAACGAAGCCAAGTCTGCCAACCACTTCAAGGTCATCTCTGGTCGTCTCGAGAACAAGGTTGTCGAGCTTACACAAAGCCTCCAGTCTCGCACCAAGGCGAACAAGGAGCTCAGCAACAAGATCAGAGCGCTCGAGGAGCAGGTCAAAGCCTGGCAGGAGCGACATGGCGAACTCGATTCGCGCGCTCGCGGCTTGGAAGAGGAACTCGCCAAGCCCACAGTGGCAGCCGCCGAATTTGAGACACTCCTTGCAGAGAAGAGGGACATTGAGGCACAGCATTCGGCCTCGATGAGGCGCGTCGCGGAGCACGAAGCCAAGGTTGCCCAGCTAGAGGAAGAGCTTCGCGTTCAGGCAAAGGAGCTGGAGGCGCGCCAGACTGCACTTAACAGCAAGGGCAAGACGTCGGACGAGGACTCGGCCACGATCACCAGCCTGCGCAACGAGGTCAGCACATTGCGAGCAGAGGTCAACAGGGCCAATGCATTGGCGACGCTGTCCAAGAATCAACAACGCATCGAGAATGCTGCGCCACCCGTGTTCAACATGGCCACTGGCAAGGACGGCTTCCAGTCTCAGGGAAAGAGACGTGCTCGAAGACACTCCGAAACTGGACCTTGGCAAGACGGCGTTGCCGCTGCCCACCCCGACGATCAGGAAATGTCGGCAGTGAAGCGAAGCGTCGCGCACGCCAACAGGCATGTGAGCATGGCATTTGGGCCAGGCCAAGGCCCTCGTGCCGAGGAGTTCGACGAGGAGGCTGCAGCTCAGGATCAGATCATCGCTATCCTCGAAGATGAAGAAGGCCTGGATCGAGATGTGCTCGACACGATGATCCGCAACCTCAGACCGCCAGCTCCGAGCATCCAGAACCCGCCTTCGCCCAAGGAGGTCTTCTTCCCTGCGCACGTTGCCATCAGCTTGCCCGTCAACGAGCTGTGGAAGTACGGCATGATCAGGGAATCGGAGAGATTCCTGGCCAACGTCATGCAAACTGTTCAGCAACACGTCATGTCGTATCAGGGAGAAGATGCTATTGTTCCTGGCATCTTTTGGTTGTCCAACGTGCACGAGATCCTCTCCTTTGTTTGCATTGCCGAGTCGGACATGCTGCAGGGTATCGGACCGGGCATGGATGGCGCCGCTCGACCTTTCGAGTGGGGCGACTACGAACGGCTCGTCACGATCGTGAAGCACGACTTGGACAGTCTAGAGTACAACATCTACCACACCTTCATGCAAGAGACGAAGAAGCGTCTGCACAAGATCGTCGTGCCGGCGCTCATCGAAAGTCAGAGCTTGCCCGGCTTCGTGACCAGCGACTCGGGCGGTCGGCTATTCAACCGCTTGATTTCTGGCGCTTCTACCCCTGCTTACACCATGGATGATATCCTCGGTATCCTGAACAAGGTTTGGAAGAGCCTCAAGAGCTACTACGTCGAGCCAAGCGTTACCAGCCAGTGTATCAGCGAGCTGCTGAAGCTGATCGGTGTCACCGCGTTCAAGTGAGTCGATCCTCGTAAAGATTCGAGGAGCGCCCGCCCACCACTGATGAATCCGACACGTTGGTGGCCCACAGCGACATTCTGATGAGGAGAAATTTCTGCAGCTGGAAGCGCGCAATGCAAGTCCAGTACAACATGTAAGTTTCACGCACCGTCTAGACGCAACGCGCCTCCCGCTGACACCCTGCCTCCTGCTTCTTGTTGACAGCACGCGATTGGAAGAGTGGTGCAAATCGCATGACATGCCGGAGGGTACTCTGCAGTTGGAGCACCTGATGCAGGCCACCAAGCTGTTGCAACTCAAGAAGGTAGGTGCGGTGCGGCAGGGTCTTGCGTCGACGCTAAATGCTCATGCGTTCAATTTGTCAATCCGCAGGCAACGCTTGGCGACATCGACATCATCTACGACGTGTGCTGGATGCTCACCCCTACTCAGATCCAAAAGCTGATCAGCCAGTACTCTGTGGCGGACTACGAGGTGCGTCGGCGGACGCGAGACCATTCCGTTGTTGACGCGATCAAATGCTGACCAGCTCGCGACGCATGTCTGCACTCAGAACCCCATCTCTCCCGAGATCCTCAAGGCTGTAGCTTCTCGCGTTGTTCCCGGCGATCGCAATGATCACCTCCTGCTGCCGCCCGAAGTTGACGAAGCGTGAGTAAGAATGCAGGGGTCTACACTCAATGGATCGTGATTGAACATATTGCTGATCTTATCACCACCATCAGTGGACCGTTCGAGATTCCTCTACCAAGACTAGTCACCGGTATCGAGACCTATTGTCCCGCGTATCTCAATGTTCCCGTTCTCAAGAGGCTAGCAAGTTGCGTCGCGTGAGTCACCAGACTCCATTGACGTCGCTCGCAGGACGAGCCCCGCCGCGAGCTTCTGCGTCCCCTTTCCGCCCCCATCGCTTTGTCTCCATGCTCCTACCGACCTTATTGATTATGATTGCTGGGCTCTAGGCGGCTCAATCAGTTGCTAGGCATCATCGAGCCGGACACAGATGGATTCTAAACGTTTGTGTGCCCGCTTATCCGCACCCGTACCCGCACTCGCCACGTCTTTTGAGCCCTGAACCGAAAATCACGCGCACACGAGGGTCGACAGTGAAATGTAAATCGCTTTTAGAGCACATTCACGATTGCTGGATAGGGGCATCAGGCGTGCCACCACGATATCGCCCTCCTGGTACTGCACGTATGTAGTGTAGGCCTTGTCATGGCCAGAACAGGGCTCACAAACAAGCCTCGATTGGCGGTGCAAGCACAAATTTGAATCTGACAAGAGCGCGCCCGACAAGATGATCGTGCAGCTGGATCGTGCCACGTGGCCCAGGCTCCGTTCGCGCCCGCCTCCAAGGACGCGGCACTCGGAGGCGGCGGAGGACGAGTGTCAGCCAGCCAGCCCTGCAAGCAGCTATACGCGAAGGTGGCGCGCGAACGCACGGGCGCACGTATGCGCCCGCAACGACGCGAAGATGCGGCCAGCGGGCACTCTGACGGTCCTCCAGCTAGGCAGCTGTTTGGGCCCAGCGAGCGGCGTGCGCACGAGGCAAGCGATACCGTACCGCGCACGCAGGCGCGGCCAAGCGTGCAAGCGGCGCGAAACAGAAGAGCACTCGTCAGACTCGGGGCTGCTTGCTGCTGCCGCTGCTGCTGCTGCTGTCCAACGCTTCTTGCCTGCTTGCCATAGCTGATGCGTGCGTGCGCGAGCCAGCAGCGTTTGGAGGTCCTTCGTCTTCTGCTCGCGCGCGCGGCCCGCGCTTGGTCGGTCGGTCGAGGGTCAAGTCGACGCTTTGCACGGCTTACATTCTTCCACCGTTCCCCCCTTCACCTTGTTGGTACACACCTCCTCCCATTCTTTCCCACAAGTCATTGCAATCATGCAGCCATTTGTGACTCGTCTCGCTTTGCGCGCACCGCGCAGCGGCCTTAGACAAGCTCGCGGCTTGTCCACCGTCGCAAAGGCAGCTGCTCCTGCTGGTGAGTAGAAGCGGCGCGGATTTTAGTCGGGCAGTGTTCCACGAACAGGGGGACCGCTTCGTCTTGGCCGCTATAATGTGAAAAGCAAAGTCTCATGTGCGGCATTGAAGAGCTTGGCTGACAGGTCTAGGTTACCCCCTCTGCTTTAGCTCGCCCCGCTCTCAGTCAAGCGACTCGTGCAGCCGCAGCCGCTCCTGCCATCCCCAAGATCGCCTCCGCTGTCCAAAGTGAGTATATCTCTGTGCGCCCGCCCTGATTTGTGAATAGGAAGTATCGAAAGCGGGATGGCATGGTGTTGTTATGATCATGGGCTGCTTTCGCTAGCCTCTGGAAGGACCTTGTTCCATCAGAGTCCCCGCGCACAGTCGTCGAGTATATCATGATGCAAAGACTTACCCATGCCGCCCTCTGATTTCCACAGCCCGAGGCATGGCCAAGACTCCAGATGCATCCTCCGGCAAGGGCCAAACTGGTCAAGTCAAGGTGGGCAATCTCAGCGAGGAAAGACATCAACGCATACATTGATTGACACATTTCATTTCACGAACAACAGGCCGTCATTGGTGCCGTCGTCGACGTCTCCTTTGACAGCGACGAGCTTCCCGCTATTCTCAATGCTCTCGACGTTCAGGATGTCATTGGTGGCCAGCGCCTCGTGCTCGAAGTCGCGCAGCACCTGGGAGAGAACACTGTCCGCGTGCGTAAGCGTAGAGGTAACGATGTGTTTTCACGACTGCAGCGCTGACTTGGCCCGCTCTACCTGCATCGACAGTGCATCGCCATGGACGGTACGGAGGGTCTCGTCCGTGGCCAAAAGGTCATCGACACTGGTCTCCCCATTCAGATCCCTGTCGGACCTGGAACGCTCGGCCGTATCATCAACGTCATCGGTGAGGGTATTGACGAGCGTGGCCCAGTCAAGGGAGCCAAGCTCTCGCCCATCCACGCCGAGCCTCCCGAGTTCATCGAGCAGTCCACCGAGGCCGAAGTCCTGGAGACTGGTATCAAGGTCGTCGACCTCCTCGCTCCTTACGCTCGTGGTGGAAAGATTGGTCTCTTCGGCGGTGCCGGTGTCGGCAAGACTGTGAGTGAAGGGCTGCACTAGTTGCGCGACCTCGACATCCCGCTGACGACCAGGTACGCCGATCTCGCAGGTGCTCATTCAAGAGCTCATCAACAACATCGCCAAGGCACACGGTGGTGTCTCCGTATTCACTGGTGTCGGAGAGCGTACTCGTGAGGGTAACGACTTGTACCACGAAATGATCGAGACTGGTGTCATCAACCTGGAGGGCGAGTCCAAGGTGGCGCTCGTGTTCGGTCAGATGAACGAACCTCCTGGTGCACGTGCCCGTGTCGCCTTGACCGGTCTTACCATCGCAGAGTACTTCCGTGACGAGGAGGGTCAAGACGTGCTGCTCTTCATCGACAACATTTTCCGTTTCACCCAGGCTGGTTCAGAGACCTCGGCCTTGCTCGGTCGTATCCCCTCGGCCGTCGGTTACCAGCCCACCCTCTCCACGGACATGGGTGGTATGCAAGAGCGTATTACCACCACCAAGAAGGGATCGATCACCTCCGTGCAAGCCGTCTACGTGCCTGCCGATGACTTGACGGACCCTGCTCCCGCCACCACCTTCGCCCACTTGGACGCCACCACCTCGTTGTCTCGTGGTATCGCCGAGCTGGGTATCTACCCCGCTGTCGACCCTCTGGACAGCAAGTCTCGTATGCTTGACCCCTCCATCGTTGGACGTGAGCACTACGACGTCGCCACTGGTGTGCAAAAGATCCTGCAAGACTACAAGTCTCTGCAAGACATCATCGCCATTCTGGGCATGGACGAGTTGTCCGAGCAAGACAAGCTCGTCGTCGAGCGTGCTCGTAAGATTCAACGTTTCCTCAGCCAGCCGTTCGCCGTCGCATCCGTCTTCACTGGTATCGAGGGCAAGCTTGTGCCTTTGAAGGACAGCGTGCGATCTTGCAAGGAGATTCTCGAGGGCAAGCACGACAACTTGCCAGAGGGAGCTTTCTACATGGTCGGCGCCATTGAGGACGTCATTGCCAAGGCTGAGCAGATGGCCAAGGAGAACTAAGCGGGAAGGAAATCGGATAGATTCACACACAAGTCTTCAGCGCTAGCCTGATTCTTCCTATCTTCGCCCCCTCCCCTTTCCTTGTTCCTCCGCTACACTGTTTTTGACCCAAGCAAGCGCAAAACGATCCAATAGCCAATAAAATGTCTTGACGCTCGACCATTTCCATCTCACTGTCGTGTCTATCTAGTCGAAGCTCTGATTCACGACTCTGCGCACACTCGACATGCCCGCAGCGCAGCAAAAGCGCCAACTTGACTACGGCCTCCTATTCTCTGCCACGCTTTCAGCGCGTGCGCAGCAGGTTTCTTTCGCACTTGCGCTCATCTCCTCGAATCAGGCGTAAGTGTTCACGATCTGCACGCACGTATCGGATCGCCTTCATTCGCATCACTTGGGACGCACGCCGCGAGCGTCATCAGGCGCGTGATCCAACTTTCACTCTGTGCTCCAACTTGCGCTCCGACGGTGACCCTCATGATCAGCATGTGCATGTGGGACGGCAACGCCCAAGAACGCCCACGCGCGGGCATGTATGGAAGCCTCACATTCGAGACTTGCTGATGCTCTTTCCATACAGGAGCTCACGACCAGAGAATGAATAAGCGCTCGATCACAACTGACTCGTGAACAATCACGAATTGAGCAACAGCTAGGCACGGAGTTCGCGCAGTCCCAGTCAGAGTAGGACCGACAATTCACGCTCACGGTACACCTTGATCCACATCACCGTCCGGTCCCCCTGTTGGCTGCGAGCTGGCATGTGCCGCGTGCTACTCAAGACTATATACGTGCTACAGTACCATCATCAGCTCATCATGACGCCCAATCAACGCCGGCGGCGCGGCGCGGGCGTTCATCTTCGCCGCTCCACTCAGCCCCTTCGAGCCGATGGATGCGCGATGGAAAATCGCGAGCGCAATGCCATGCACTCATTCCATCGTGCACATTCATTCACCCACCATCATCAAGCTTCGGCGGGCATCATGAACATGCGCCCTTTTTCCGGTGTTGCTCATCCGTGCACGCACTCTGACTCACTCGACTTGACCTTCGCGCAGGGCGTCAGGTACGGGCGTGTCACTCGGGGCCCTGGACGACGCCGTGATTGGGTGCGGCACAGGGTATTGGGAGAGCGAGCTGGAGTCGAGTCGCGAAGATGCAAATTGCTCTCCTTTGCAATGTCTGGTCGGGTCATGGGCTCAGACGTGTTCATGGGGAGGGGAAGAGGGGTAAGATGCCACAAGACGGTCCCAATCGAGGCTGGTCTACAGCTGCAACCCACTCACGGTGGACGCTTTTCTTCAAATGCTTTCTGATGAAAGCTTGGTCACCCACACGTCGAGCTGTAAAAAATGAGCACAATTAGAATGTAGAGCCTCCGTAGGCTGCCGCGACCACAGATCGTCCCCTTTACCCCATCCGCAACGTTCGAGCAGGCTCTCGATCATACTCCCAAGTCTGTTGACTGTACGCGCTGTCTCCAAAGCTGATCACAATCTTGTCTGCTCGGCTGTAGATTCGCCGCCCCAGGCTTCCAGTTCCACCATACAGAGCTGTGCTCATCGATCCCGCAAGCATTCTATACGGATCTGCGCCTCACACTCTTTGGTCTGACAGCGACTGGCTCGCTTGAGAAGATCCGCCCATCTTCATCCAAATTCTCGCCTCGCATCATATTGGCCTCACTCAATCATGCTGCCATTCTCCGTCGCCCTCCTGGGCGCCCTACTGTGAGTGGAGACGCTTGCGCAGAGCAAGATGGCCTGCTGTGCTCTTGATGACGGGCGAGGGCACAAAGTGCTGACTAGTACATTCCTCGATTCGGCCTCTGCAGTGCAATTTCGGCATTTGCCGCTCCGCATGGTCAAGCCAATATGGAGCAGACCATGCAAGGCTTCGTATCCGACCCTGCAAAGAGGTTAGATTTGCGAATCCGCGCTCCGATGACCGTGGTGCTAGACACGCCTCAGACCCACGGCAAGCACAATGGCGTGTGGAGAGGCAAAGGTTGGGCAAAGCAGCAACAGACCATCGGAGCGAATGTCTCTCCTGATCGTGATGGTGGAAAGGTGCACGCGGTGGATACGACGATGAGCAACCATGCACCTGGTGCCCACGATAAGCAGCATGGTCAAACGTGGGCGGTCATTAAACAAAGGAGTCTGCCTCCCAAAGCAGAAGCACGTATTGTACAAAGGGCTAATGAAGGCGGCGCAGCGCAGGACGCCCGCCTCTTCTACACGCCTCACGCTTCGCCCCCCGTCCTTCGCGGTAGAGGTTGGCGAATGGGCAAAAGGAGCATCCTCACTTCTGCACCGTCCCCGGCGCGAGTGGAGAAGAGGGCTCATTTCGAGATGATTTCTACCGAAACTTTTGATCCCAGAACCAGCACCAACAATGGCGGGCCGACGAAGCCTAAGAAGCGCTCCATTTCCTCCTCCGACGCAAGTGCGAAAGGTTCGCCTTTGAAGCTGTTCAAAAGGCTATTTGGCGGACTGCAGCAACATTACGACAAGGAGGCGGTCTTGTACGCCATGACGCAACCTTGCGAGTCCAACAACAGCATTGCTAGAACTTGCAGACCTGTGACCGAGTACAAGGGAAAGGTGCTCGGTTTCCAGGATACGCTCGATGCGGCTCAGGAGGTGCTCAATGAGCAAAAAGCCGAGGCAGCGGCAGCCAAAGCCGCCGCGGAAGCCAAAGCCAAAGGGAAAGGGAAAGGAAAAGCAAAAGGCGCAGGACCGGGTCCGAGCAAGGGTGGTCCAGGAGGAATCAAAAGACGTGATCAGCCCGAAATGATTGATGACGTTCAGATTTTGTCGAGCATGAAACGACGGGACGATTTTGCGCGGGCACGCCCAGCTTCCAGTCTTGAGAAAAAGGCGCACCTCGAGACGATTTCCGACTCGGCGGCGGCGCACGATGCACGATCGAAAAGGAGCGAGCTGAGGCTATCGAGACGATCCGATGAACATGATCATGACGCTTTGCCAATCACAAAGTTGTTGAGACGACTGACCAAACCGCCAGGCTTGGATTTTGACGCCATCCGATACTCCATCCTTCCACCTTGTTCCTTGTTCCCTTACTCGACCAGACAAGCGGTATGCAGACCCGAGCTGACCGACGCATCACGTTCGCCTCTCGGCTTTAAAGATACGTTGAGCGTCGCTCAACAAGTTCTCAATCAGGAGAAAGCTCGAGCTAGAGCTAGAGCTGCTGCAGCTGCTGCCAAAGCCAAGAATAAGGGCGGATCGAAGCCTTCGCCTGCAAAGCGGCCCGTCGCAAGTCCCAAAAGAGGACCTGTGGCGCCGCATGCAACTCCACGAACCAAACGTCCAGCGAAGCCTCCTGCGAGACGACCAGTGACTTCGCCGGCCGCGTAAGCCTGCTAAGCGATCAGAAAGGTCAAGCACCCTCAAATTCGCCAGTCAAGGCAGGGAAGGGGGATTGTGGGGGGGGG